CATTCCACATTATTACAAATAACTTCATTTCTGGACATTTATGGTTTGATTTCTTTGTATGTTTGGATCACTTGGGTTGTTAYCAACATCTGGTGTAAATTTCATGTCATTAGCACCTCTAGTAATATATTTACTGAGAAAAATGGTGACGTGTTCAATACTTATTTTACCCGCTGCACAGTCCATGCATTGTAAAACATATGAGCCTAAAAGGGAGAGACTGAGAAATATAATGAGGACAGGACAGGAATGGAGTTTAAAGGGTTTAATGGGAATTGAAAGAAATGTAGTGGATATTTACAAATTAAGGAAAGCATTATTTAGCTATCTCTATGATACAAAACAAAACTAAAAAAATAGGATTCAAGTAATGTAAAGTAATGTTGCTACCACTCGTGTACAGTAGATGGCGGTTTGCGCCTAAAGTTACTTACGATCCGCCATAATACAAAAGAAGAAGAAGAAAGTCTTCGGCTTCAGTTTAGTAACCGAAGTGTAATTACGGCTGTGAAGTTAGGTTTAAGTTGGATACTGGATATTCGCGCTGATTTAGCGTTGTCTTCCTCTCGTCTAAACCGGTGAAGTTAGTCTGACGTCTGCTAGCTGCGACCGGCTGCTCGCTCCTGCACACACCGTGGTCAGCTGATGGTACATCCACACACATACAAGCCTTAACTAACCACGGTGAGGTAAGACTAGATGGTTAATGGACTGAACTTATAGAGCGCTTTACTTACAGACATTCACCCATTCACACTCACATTCACACACTGGTCCGAGGTGTCTCCAGTTTCCTCACTGGTGACTATCTCACTACTGTTAGCAACACTAGCTGTAGCTGTGCAAGGCTAATAACGAGCCTGTGATTAAGATCTAGCTGTTCCAAAGTTTACCCAGCAGTTATAATTCATTAGGAGCTCTTTGTTTGTAACTTAACTGAAGCTGCAGGTGATTTCCAAACAGGTTGATTTGTGAAAACGTATTGCTGCTTTGTGTTTACTCAAGTATAGCTCCACAACATGACTGATTTAACAGCTGTAGCATCAAAACAAGAACCTCTGGGATCACCTTTCACCTGTAATAGTCATATTTCACAGCAGTACGACTGTAATTAGTATAACCAGTAGTTACCTCCGCTGAGGGGATAATGTTCTCTCTCTCTCTCTCTCTCTCTCTCTCTCTCTCTCTCTCTCTCTCTCTCTCTCTCTCTCT